GAGGGGAGTGAGTTGTCTAAAATCTCTATTTTCCTAATTGCAGGAAAACCCATTCTATCGCCGTTCTGACAGGCTTTTTTTTCTGAGAGTAAGGCAACATCAGGTAGCCCCAGTGGGTACTGTTACAGGTCCCAGTGAGAGAAGTTACGGGAACGGAGAGTAAGCAATTAGAAACATTTTTAGCCATATGACGGTGATATTATAGCTGTTAAAACTAATTTTAAAATGTGGGCTTGGATTTTATGTGTTATTTTATTTTTCTCGAAATTTACTTTTATTATCTTTTACCAAAGAATGGGTCTGTAATAGATGGAGGTGGGAGGATGAACTGATTCTTTATCACACATGGTTTGAAAAAGCACTGAGGTGGAGGCGGGAGTCAAGAGGCTTCAATTCTTGTTCTCACTATCGATCCCAGTCCCCTCTTGGATCCTCAGTTTTCTCATCTGTGAAATGAGGTAGAGGAGGTCTAGAGGGATGGCCGAGGAATCTTATATAGCGCTGACATTTCATGAGTCTGTGAGCCAGTGAAAAGAAAGAGCCATCACGCCTTGGACCTGTAGATGAAAGGGAACAATTCTAGGTTGGCTGAGCCAGAAATGGGAGCGCATCCTCCACTTGGTGTTGAAGAATCAGAACTCTGTGCCCTCATCCCTATCCACACTGCCCTTGGCCTAGGCCACGGCTCATCCTTTTGTATCTGGACAACTATAACAGCCCCCTAAAGGCCACCTCTTTCAGCACAGTCTTGCCAAAGTGAGAGCTCTCACCCGATAACTCTGACCAAATGCCTGAAGACTTTTCCATGGGTCTTCGCTGCCCTGGGATAAAACCCACACTTCTGAGAATGGCCACGTACAGACCTTCACAGCCTGGCCCCTGCCCACATCACCAGCCTCCCCATCCCCCATCCCTCCCCACCCACACTCCTTATCACAATTTAGCCACGTGGAACTACTCTCTTCTCACCAAATACTGTGCTGTGTCCCAGCTCTGTTGTTCTCTGTGCCTGCCGTTTTCTGCCTGGAATGCTTTCCTCCAGCCTAGTGCACTCCTGCACATCCTTCAGGAACCAGCGCAAATGCTGTCAGTGACACTTTTTCTAACACTCTTCGCCGAGTCTTAGCTTTGGAGTGCCTTCCCTCTTGCTCCTATAGCAATTGCATAAGCCTTTATCACTCTCCTTTGGAGTACCTGTGCATGCGTCTGTCTCATTTATGTCTTTATTCCAGCCCCTCAGATCCCAACTGCAAACAATACTTGGCACAAGTTTTAATATGTAATGACTATTTCATATTTAATCGACATTTAATGTCTTCATGGGTAAATACTAGTTAGTGGGAGGAGTGGTGGAGAACTAATCCAAAGCAGTACAGAAGTCAAAATCGATGAATTTGACTTCAGAGTTATGACATGGTTTTTAAGGGCACATTCAAATGCCTGTTAGCCTGAACACTAATCTTTCCAATTTGCATAGTGCTTTACCATTAATAAGACATTTATACATGGATGACCTCAGTTAATGTTCACAACAACCGTGCAAGATAAGCAATTTTATTTTCATTTTTAAAATGGCTCAGAGACTCAGAGAGGTAAAGCGATATGCCTAGGACCACCTAGCTCATATATGGGGGAGTTAGGCCGTGAAAACTTGACCTCGGGTGTTCTCATACCCCATCAGCCAGTGCAGCTTTGAGGGATTCAAGCTGCAGGAGAAGGAGGCAGGCAGAAAGGGTGCTGGGGGACAGGCTCTTTACCACCTATATCCGTCCGTCCTTTCAACCTTTCCGTATTTATTCCCCTGCCACTTGTAGAGCTGAGTCCAGGAGCACCTGCTCTGTTCAGCGAGGCTGCTGCCCATCTAAAGAAGCTGGAACTGGAAACTGTGAAGGCTGCTGGACCCTGGCCTGCTCTGCACATCAACATAAATAAGGTGCCAAGGAACGGAGCTGGGTGATGAGCATGGACCTGGGGCTCACGTCAAACCTCTGATCATTACCCTGGTCTGCCTCCTAAACCTTATGCCTTTGTCTTGGAGGGGTTCCTACTCAACCTTTCCTGGTGTTTCTGCTTAGCATATCTCTTAGGAGCAAAGATTCACTTACATTCTCTTTGGATCAATTACAGCATGAGGCATTACCCTTGGTGCTAGGGACAACAGGCTGGACCCGTCCATTAGTGATCTCTCTCTACTTCTAACTGAAAGCTCAATGAAGGAAGCATCTTCATGTACCTTTTTTCATTTTTAGCGCTCTGTATTAGTCTGCTCAGGCTGCTATAACAAAACACCATAGATCAAGTAGCTTAAACAACAATTATTTCTCTCTGGGAAGTCCAAGATGAAGGTGCTGGCTGATTTGGTTTCCTAGTGAGGGCTCTCTTCCTGGCTTGCAGAAGGTCACCTTCTTGCTGTGTCCCCATGTACCAGGAGAGACTTATCTTTCTTCCTCTTCTTTTAAAGCCACTCATCCCATTGTGAGGTCCCCACCTCATGACCTCATCTAAATTAATTACTTCCCAAAGGCCTCATCGCCAAATATCATCACATTGGGGGTTAGGGCTTCAACATATGAATTTGGGGCGGTGGGGGACATAGTTCAGTCCATAACACTTGCTATCTCTCTCGGACTGTACCTGACACATAGTAGGTATTCAGTAACTCTTTGCTGATGGAAGGAAGAGAAGGATTGAAGGAGGGAGGGACAGGGCAGAAGCCAAGCTCTCTTTTGGCTGGATCTTAATCCAAATGGGAAGCCTCATAATGGTCAACTGGAGAATGCCAGTGCAGGATTTCATCTATCATTTAGTTCAACCTTCTCATCATCTGAGACCAGAGGATGGGAAATGACTTTTTCAAGGTCACCCAACAGGGGCTGAATGTGTGGGCCCCTGACGCCAGGTCCAGTGCCCTTTGCACTCCAAAATTCTTCTTCATCTCTACACCAGAGTTTCTCAACTTCAGCACTGATACTTCTTTGTTGTGGAAAGGCTGTCCTGTGCATTGTAGGAGTTTCGCAGCATCCCTGGCTAGATGCTGCAAACCCACTAGCACCCCCCGTCCAAATGTGACAACCTGAATTGTCTCCAGACATTGTCAAATGTTCCCTGAAGGACAAAATCGCCCCTGGTTGAGAACCACTATAGTACACATATTTTTGTTTTAAAAATCCTCCAAAGAATAGTCTTCACTCATGGGTCATTTCTTCCACTCTAATGCTTAGCTTTGTCCTTTTGTAAGAAGGAATAGGAAGAATTTGGAAGGTCTGGCCTGGGAAGTTCCCCCGCCTTACCCACTCTAGTGAGTGTGGAAAGGTTCTACCTCCTACCTGGGCCGTTCCTAGCCAGCCCTCTAGCCTACACTGTAGAATTCCAGGGTTTCTCAGAAGACCCTCACTCCCTTGCATGTCTCTTCTTCCTCAAAGGGCAGCCTAAAGTCCTTTTGATTCCTAATGGGACCCCAACTTCAAGACCTGCTCACCCACTTTTCTTCTATACTACCCTCCCTGATGGCCAGCTGGAAAGAATTCCTCCTGCAGAGTGGCACTTATTCATTTAGTCAACAACTCTTTATTGAGCAGGCCTGTGCCAGGTGCTAAGGACTCAACCCAATGCATCGTGCATCCCTGGACTGGTCTTCTTCCTCTGTCTACTGGTTTTCAACTTTTCTAATGCAATACACACAATAAATGTTTTAACAGGGGTTTACCCAGAGTTTGACAGAATCCAAACATATTTTGTGGGGAAGTATAGCATATATTATCAGAGAACTCACAAGCTCTATGGAATTTGTAGTCGCCATGAGTATTGGTGGGACACGGACAGCAACAGTGTCTTGCCCTGGGTTAAAGCGAAGCTGAGACATTAAGCATTTGCCTGGAGCTCAAGTTATAACGCCTCCCTTTTCTTCTCCATTTGAAGAAATGCATCAGTTAGGCTAGAGTGATGTTAAACAACCTTGACTTTGTCCTATCACATAAGTAAAGTATATTAACTTCACACTATGATTCTTTATCATTAATAAAACATTCCTTGCAGCAGACCTCACAAAACTTATCACAATACCACAATGGGGACCAATGGCTTCAATGACTCTTAAGGTTTTTTCCAGCCTCAAGGATTGAGAAGTCTGATTCTTCTAAGGTTTGGATAAGTTCCTCTTAAGTTGATGGTGAGAAGACACTGTCATTGCTGGGTTCCAAAGTGGTGCCCAAAATTATCACAGGAATTTAAATCTCATCAGATTTCAAATGTATAAACAATTTGTATAAACATTTCAAAAATGCATCTACTCATTTCTTTATTCCCAGCTGACATCCCCAAACAGATGGGCTATTTCCAGCTATAAGCCCGTGTCATTCATCTGTATTATTTTGAAATCTGTATTTCCATTTCGAATGATAAAGCATCTTTCCACAATTCAAATTGAATGTAAAATACAAACTACTGTCATGTAAAAGAGAAGAAAGCACAATCTTCTAGGGGCCATTCTCAAGGCTGGAATTGTGGTCTTATTATAATGTAAATACGTATCGCCCCTAAAGAAGCCTTTTCGAACATGTTTATATAATGATACTCAAATTTTTCTAAATATATGTTGGCCTCTTCCTGAGTCAATTCAGAGAACTAGCTCTTGCTTTGTCCAGATCAAACAGGTGCAAGCCAGCTTGAATTTTTTGTCTAAAAAGTTTAGAAGCACTAAATTCAAGGGGAAAATCAATGCTGGATTCTCATTCTTTTCTTATTTTAGCAGCATTCAATTTTTTTAAAGTAGATCTTAGGTCATTTCAGTGAGTATAACTATATCCCCTTAAGCAATTGTCAAAAACCTCGCATTGGGCTTTAGAACCAATTAAATTCCTATATCCCAGCATATCATTCCAAAAAATTAACTCTAATTTAAAATTAACTCTTCACACACTGGTGAAAACACCCATTCTAGTAGTAAACAATTACCTTAACGTAACAGAATTTACAAACACACGATAAATTATGCTAAAGCTAAGACCATAAAGCTCATCTTTCAAAATAGTAAATAAGTTTCTTATTTGCTTTTATGGGAACTGCTAAGTCCTTTGAGGTACTGATTACAGTCAAATGAGTCAGAACTCTTCAAAGCTTAGAATCATTAGTTTCCTCACATCTGATGCTCTTTTTATATTTTTCATATCTAACCAAAGAATCTATCATGAAAGTGCCGCTCATATCTTGTTTTCGCATTTGATCATCATCATAATCTTATGAAGAAAGAAACTGAGACTCAAAGAGGGTAAGGGGAGCCAGTGCATCCGCGTAGTCAAGTCTGTCGCTTCGGAGTCACCCAGTCCTGGGTGCGAATCTTAGCTCTTCTACGAACTTCCCGTGTGACCTTGGGCAAGTGACTTACCATCTCTCTACTTTGTTTTTCTCATCTATAAAATGGGGATAGTGATAGTATCTACCTCCAAATGGGATGGTTAAATGAGAAACTTCAATGGAACGTGCATATGCAATGCTTAGTCAGTGCCTGGCCCATCATAAGCTCTCAGTAAATGTGAGCTACTGGCATTATTTTTCTTGTCATCATCATCATCACTGTCATCATCATCATCGTCATCTTTTTTTATGGCTAGTAAGGG